TCAGTGGCATAGAACAATAAGATTTGTTATCTCATAGTTTATAGGTTTAGAAGTCATTGCCCAGAGTGACTGGATTTTCTACTCAAAGTCTCACTGGGCTGAGTCCAGGGTTAGCTGTGGCTATCTGTGGGGGGTTCGAACCAGTGACCCCATGCAGTGATAACTGGGGATGAGTAAGTGTGCCATTCACCAGCCCATGCCACCCCCAGAACCGGGAACACTCAGGCACAACAGGGAGCCTAGTCAAGCAGGGACTCATTTATTGCAGGTGTTATTTCACAGGTTACCCATCTCATAGATGCTCCCTGAGGAGAGATGGCTATCTCCTTCCTCTAATCTTATGCATTTTTGCTGGTCTTAGGTTGTGTCACCTCTGACCAAGCCTTGCCTGTCATTGGACCATACACCTGGCCATGTGCATGTCCTGTCTTAGGAGTGCTTGTCATGGGACATCTTACCCATCCTTGGCTAAAAATGTGTCATGATTAAGGGAAGCCACATGGGTAATGCCAGCCCGTGACAAGCACTTAGTCTTAGTCTCTGCCTAACTCGGTTAGCCAAGCGTGGACAACCGGAGAGGGTATATTCCTGGGGGAGTCCATAATCATGAGGAGGTGGGCCGTGGCAGTTCCAAGGGTCCTCTGTCACCGAATTATCTGGTAAAGACACTTAAAGATAAGCATTATCAAGAGAAACAAAGCAAGTCATGGCATAGGACAAGTTGAAATACTTCTGAGACCATGTACCTTTTAGCCAATCAGCCAGTTGTCAAAGAGGCTGACTGGCAATGAAGCCAAGGAACTGGGTCCTTTACCTCAGATGGCATGCTAGGCAGTCGGATCCTGGCCTACCCACTTAAAGTTTTTTGCAGGCACCCATATGGGGTTTGAAACTCCTGTAGGGTAGACACAGCCAAAGCCTCAACCCATGGTTTGCAATGGATCTGGGCCTCTCCAATGCCTCATAATGGGGTCCTTCCACCTTCCACGGACCTCAAGTCTCTGCGCCTGTCATCCCCAATGCTTCTGAAACTGAGTTTCCAACTGACTTTTTTGAAAATTAAGATCATTAATAATGAATAAGGCCATATCCAACTGTTGGTGGGGGTTATTCCCCCTTTTTGTGTTTGTAATTGAATTTTTAGGTTTTGATGGTTGCGTTCTACAATGGCTTGACCTTGGAGATTGTAGGGAATTCCTGTATTGTGTTGAATTCCCCAAAGTGAAAAGAAATCTTGTAAATTTTTACTCACAAATCATGGTCCATTAGCAGTTTGAATTCTTGGGGGCAATCCCAACGTAGCAAAGCACTGGAGAAAATGAGACTGAGCATGTCTAGACTTCTCTCCTGTATGAGTGGTAGCCCAACAGGTATGTGAGAATGTGTCAATGGACACAAAAATATAAATGTGCCCAGTGGGGGCCAGTCGCCAGCCGGGGGTCTTTCACCTGTCCAGCTTTTGTGCGAGCCCCTGACTCGCGCATGCGTTACACTCCTTGGTCTGTGTTTCAAAACGCGTTGAGTGGGCGGCTTTGTCACTGACCCTGTGCACTCTGCTCCACCCCGCCTTTCTGAAAAAGGAACTCATGGGTCATGAGCATGGGTCCCGGGAAGCCCTGAAGGTGGCCAGGGCACATCCGAGATGTCGCTTGTTACTTTGGCCGCTTTTGGGTTCACTTCTGTTGCATTTCCATGTTCTTCCTCAAACTCTTCCCATGATTCCCATGTATCCCCACTAAAAACATTAGCCCCAAGTAGCCAGGGAGCCAAATGAACAGCCTCTGCCCAAACCTTTTGAACTACAGGATCTGACAGATCCAATCCCCTACTTTTAAGCATATCTCTCAGTGCTTTGAGCGCCGGAGTCCTCAGGCTTATTAGTTGCATTACCCATCTTTTCAGGTCTCACTTACCCCGAACTCCCGATTGGCCCCAATCCAATTTTTTTCTTTCTTTTCTTCTTTTCACCTTCACTCTAGCACCATGCTGGGCACCAGTTGCAGTGGGTTCAAACCAGTGACCCCCGCACAGTGATGACTGGGGATGAGTAAGTGCACCGTTCGCCAGCCCATCACTCCCCCAGTACTGGGAACACTCAGGCGCAATGGGGA